AGCAGCTCAGGATCCCTGGGCATCCCTGGTGCTCATTCCCAGCCCAGGGTGTGCCCCAGGGCTGCAGGAACAGCCCCTCTGGCCCTGAGCTCCCCTGGCACACGAGGCCTCCACGTACCAGCACTTGCTTTGCACGTTCCGTCTCCCACTTCAGGCTGGACTTGATCTCACTGACTGTCACAAAGCCCTTTTTCTGGGGAAAAAAAAAGAGTTAAAACACTGTCAGCTTCGAGCCAAGACTTACATCCTTAGTTTAGCAGAGTGGGGACAGTTTTGCCTGCAGGCCTAACCCCAGTTCCCTGCCAGGGCAGCCCCAAGGGGTGTGTAAAGCTGGCCTGGTACCTCTGCCAGCTGCAGGACAACCGTGTGGTCCATGTTCAGCTCCGCTGGCACAGACTGGATCAGAAACGTTCCACCAACAGGGATAATCCCAAAGCCATTCCCCAAGACCTTCAGCTTCTTGATGGCCCGGAGGAGATCGTCCCTGAGGAGCAGAGGGCAGTTAGAGCCCCTCCAACTGCCCTCCAACTGTCAAATTTGGAGTCCCCAGACCAGTCACCCCCTTTTCTTCCCCAAATCCTGCTTGATCCCCCTTCCCTGTGACATGCAGACACTCACTGGCTGACATCCTGAGCAAACTTCCCTCTCCCCTTCAGCACTTGCTGGTGAAGTTCTTCCAGTGTTATCAGCCCTGGGAGGCAACAAGAGGGGACAGGAAAACATCACTCATGGCAACAAAACTACTGCAGAGAGAGCAGCCAGGGCTCCTTTGTGCTGTGCCAGAGCCCCCCAGTGCCTGTTCATTGTTCCCCTGGGAAGCCCTGGGGGGGACAATGACCCAGCCTTGTTCCCAGGCAGCTGCTTCCTCCTCCCACAAAACGTGGGAGTTCCACTGGCTTTGCTTCAGCCCATCCCTGGCCTCAGATTGCCCCTTTGGAGTGAAGAACACCTACTGTCTTTTAATTAAGCACTTCTATCTGGAATTCCAACCTTCTGGACATTGCTGGGGTCCTTCAGAGCCAATCTCAGGCTCCAGGCAGGCTCATACTCCTTCAGGATTGCCACTGAGCCCTGCTCCTTTCCATGCTCCTGAGTTATATTTTAGTTCCCTAGACAGGGGCAGAGCTGGTGATTTCTGGATCAATAGAGTGGTGGAGCCACAACAGGTTGTAGAAGCAGAACAAGGACAAAATGATCACCCCAGTGATTAGTGAAATCTGAGAGACACAACCCATTTTCCACAGGGAAAAGTGCTCCTGGTTAGTGGTGTCTCCCAGGAAGCAGAGTGGGATCCTCACCTCCATTCCTGTGTTTCAGAGCCAAACAAACTTCAATGATCTGCACTCCCAGCTCGTAGTAAAAGTCTCCAACTCCCAACATCTCCGACCAGAATCCTTTACCAGCTGGGAAGGGAGAGAGGGAAAAGGGGTTGGAACACTGGGAAAAACATCCTTCTCATTGTGAAGCAGGCAACTCACAAACCCCACTGGGAGGACTGGGATTTTTGTTATCTCCACCCCTTTTCCCCCCCCCAAAGGTGCATCCCAGCAATTCCCAAGCCCCAGGAATCAAAGCACCGGCAGTTTTCCTCAAGGACAAACTCTCCCCCAGCTCCACCACGAGCTGTTTGGGAAGAGTGAGATGAATCCTGTCCTTCAGCCCAGGGCCTGCTGCTCACATGCCAGGGGATCCACCCCGATGGTGGCACACATGTCCTGGAACTGCACCCGGAACTCGGGGTTCTTCCGGATCTCCTGCTTGTGTTTGCTGGCAAACTCCTCCAGGTTGGTCTTAAACATGTCCAGCTGCTTGGACATCTGCAGGGGAGTGGAGGAGAGCACTGAGAACAAACCAGGAGCAGAGAGCACTGGGGATAAGACGAGGCACTGGGCACTGGGCACGGAAAATGCCCTGGGCACGGAGGGAGAAGGGGACGGGGGGACAAGCCCAGGGCAGGGGGCCACTCCCCAGGGCAGGGGGGCTTCCCACTGCCAGCCCCCAATCCCAGGGGGCTTCCACACCGTGCTCCCTGCCCTGGTTCCCAGCCAGGAGGCGGTGGGGTTTGGGTCACCAGCAGCCCCTGGGAATGCCACTGGAGAGCACCACTCCCGAGGACACCGCCGGAGAACCCCCTTCCTCACCCGCTGCTTCCTCACCCGCCGCTTCCCGCTGCCTAATGAGCACAAAATATTTCCATGTTGCCAATTACTTGGTTCATTTGTGCTGCTGCGGGCAGTGCTGGTGCAGGGAAAATCCCCCTGGAGCCATCCCAGCCCCCGGGGAGCAGGGAGAGCCCCGGCTGGGTCTCCCCAAGGCTGGGCATCCCCATCCCATCCCTGTCTTCCGTCCTCACCACGCACCCGACACCCCCTGGCCCCCCTGGCTCCGGGGTCACCTTTGTCAGCAGCTGCCTGGAGGCATTCCCACATCCCCAGAACATCCCCAGCGTGACACTGTCGGCTGTGGTGAGAAAGCAAGACCTTCCCAGGATTTAAACTGGCCTTTGATGGACTTGGAAAAGGCCTTGGAACCTCATTTCTTGGCTTATCCCCCGTCTGGGGTGTGATCTGCCAGTGTTGCCATTCCAACCCCTTCCAGCACCGAGAAAAAACCCAAGTGGCATCACCGACGTGTCCCGAGCTCAGCCAGCCCAGCCGGGTCCATCTCTCCCCAAGGACTGATCCCGCTCCCATCCCATCCCCAGGAGGGATCCCCAGCCCTCTCCCTGCTGCGACACCGTCACCACAAACCCCTTCCAGCAGGTCCCGGGAGCCGCGTCCCTCCCACCTGCGCCCAGAAATCCTCCCTGCACACGGAGCTGGGCAGTGATTTATAACGGGGAACAAATATTACAATGTCTAAGGAAAAACAGAAAAGATCCATCCAGCTGGATTCCTTTCCCGTGGNTCCTCCCTGCACACGGAGCTGGGCAGTGATTTATAACGGGGAACAAATATTACAATGCCTAAGGAAAAACAGAAAGGATCCATCCAGCTGGATTCCCTTCCCGTGGGAACAGGGCTGCCGGCAGGAACCGGGGACTCGGTGACACCAGGATTTTGGGGCAGGGACAGGGTGGAAGAAGCCGGAATAAATTGGGCTCCAGCACTGCCAAACCACCTGGATGCAGGAGGCATGCCGGACCCAGCCATGGATCTGAGCCACCGTGGCCCCACACGGACCCCAGACCAGTGTGGAAGGAGCTGAGGGCTCCAGTCCCTCCCTGTGGAGCCCTGGGCTCCGGGGACACAAAGAAGGGGCTTCTCTGCCGACACCACCGACACTGCTCCCAGCAGAAACTCCCGGGGCCGGGCGCTCTGACAGCCATGTCCTTTTCCATCTCTCAATCACTCTACCAATATTAATTCCCTAATTTAGCCCCTGGCAGAGATCCTCACCTTACCCACGGAGAAACTGAGGCTGGGGGAGGGAGAAGCCATTTGTCTCCCTGTAATGAGCTGGAAGCCGGATCCAGGATCGCCCCAGCTCTCAGGATGAGCGTCCCTGCTCCTGATCCAAAGCTTTCTATTGTAAAACACAACATCATGATTTATTATTATCATTACTATTATTATTATTATTATTAATCAGCTCTGAAATGGAGACCAGGTTTTCCTGGAGCCCAGATCCTGGCTGTCTAGGGGACACCAAGCCCCCAACACCTCCCACTCCATATCCCAGCATCGGAGAGAGCGTCGGGAACAACCAAGGGAGAACAAACAACTGCGGATGGCGGCGGGATGAGCCCGGAGAGGCAGCAGTTGGGTGGCTGGAACTCAGGGCCACCGACCCCAGGAACCACCACAGAGAGAGGTGCAGGCAGGGAGAGCTGGGAGCGCCAGGAATCGCAGGCAGGGAGAGCTGGGAGCTGGTCCAAGAGGAAGGTCACTGGTGGCGATGAGTGTTAGGAATGCCAGCACTGGCTGGGCTGGATGCTGCCTCCAGAGCACACACCTTGCAGCAGAAGGTGATTCCCGTTCCCAAACCTGTTCCCAATCCTCCCAATTCAGCCTTAAATCCAACCTCACGGGGCCAGGAGCGATGCCAGGCTGTGGAGTGGGGAACAACCCCAATGTTCCACTCGGTACCCCCCTGGCTCCGGCCAAACCAATCCCTGCGACCCCACGGAGATCCAATGGAGACGGCACTGGAAGGGGCCTGGAGCCAGAAGCCATTTCCATTCCAAACAGCCTTGGATTCTGTGCTGGAAACAAACAGGAGCACCATTTTGACCAGCACTGCAGCCGGAGCTGGTGCCAGAATTCCCGTGTGCCGGTGCTGTATCCGACAGCGCCTGGACAACAATGGGACAGTCCCTGGGACATGGCACAGCCCCCACCCTAAAACAGGGATCCCGGGAGCAGGGAGCTCACACAGGGGCGGGAGAGCAGCTGGACACACAGACAGAGGGAATTCCAGTCACAGGGTTTGAAGCAGGTTTTTTTAAAATGCAGGAAAATGGTGGAAGGGCAGGAAAAAGCGGAGCAGAACAACGGGAAAAATGAAACATCCAAACACCAGGAGGGAGGGAAACTCTCCAGGGGAGCACCTTCTCCAGCAGCACCTCTCCAACCTCCCACCCCACTCCCCAGGATGTTCCACTTGACTGCTCTGAGAACGGGATGAAATTTGGGAAAAGCCCCTTTGGAAGGGCCGGCACATCAGTCAGACTCGGGCGGCTCCGGTACCATGTCGGGTGAAAATAAAAGCACAGTTTGTGGGAGAAATGCAAGGAGAAGGGTCAGTGAGCAAACCAGGCAGGTTTGTGGGATGGGAAGCAAGAAAGGCATGGATGCAGGAAAAGCTGGGATGAAGTGGGAGAAGGGCTGAGAAGGGGTCCCTTGGGTTTCAGGGAAAAGGGAAAATAGCGACGCTTCAGTAACGCTGATGCACCACATTAAAGCACTGACCATTCCAAAACAACCTTGGAACAAAAACGCCCATCCCGGAACAGGGCCGTGCCACCGGCACAGGGTGGGGACGGACGGATGGAAACGGACACACGGACACGGCCCAGGCGGCTCCACCATCCCGACCCGGCATCGCCCCGGCTCCGTCGGAGTTGTCCCGGCATCCCCGGCCCTTCGGAAGCCGAGCACCCCCGGCCCCCCTCCCCGTCCCGGGGGGCTCTGCCCCGCGTTTTTCCACTCAATTTCCTTCCCGAGCCGGCAGGAGATAAATCCCTCTGCCGAGGCAGGCGGCCGGAACAGCAAAGCCAGCGGTGCCAAGTTTAATAAGCAACCCTGATCGAGAATCCAGATAATAATTGGGATTATCGAGCCGGCTGGAAAAGAGCTTCCTGGGCTCCTGACGGCACCAGCACCCAGCACAGGGGGACAGTGACATCCACGGGGTCCCCAGCGGGACCGGGACGCTGACGGGAGACCGGGATGCTGCC